TGTGTTTTTTATAAATTTTATGTGCTTTTTGCTTCCGATTTTTCAAGTTTTTTATTTGTCTGTTAAACCAGACTGGATTTTGTGTGTTTCTGTTACGTCTTTTTTTCTTCAAAGGTATTTCTTCCGAAATTATTTCTGTTAAAATTTTGTAGAACACGTCTATACCAATTTCGACATTTCCTACATTCCTTAAAATTAATTGCCAATTGACACTGTTTAATTTAAATTTTATTTTTTCGTAGTCTGCTAATTTGTATTCAAAGACTTCTTCGTATTCGCAGTCGTTGGGTCTTTGGTTTTCATGCATAAATAAAGAATATTCGATTGCTGTGTGAAACGCTTCATTTTTCCACAGTGGATTTAATGATTCGGTCACACAGAAATCTTCATAAATATTCGTTAGTAAAAAGTCCAAATAGCAATTTTGTTGGTTTTTGATGTGGTTAATTTGGTTCAGTCCTAAATTAGCAGTTTTGTCAAATATGAACTGCAATGTTTCATTATCCCCAACGACTGGGAGTAAGATACATTCATTTTCAGAGTCCAGAATGAAGTCAGCATGGCGTTGATTAAAGTCTCCATAGATGTGAACTTTAACCTCAGGAGGGAGGTCAGATAGAATTTGTTCAGCACTTTGGAAGAAGGCTTCATAAGTGTTTTTATGAGCATGGTCTGGTGGAAAATACACTGAGGCGAACACGTGCGTTTCACCGGCTATGTGTGATTTCACCCAAATATGCTCAAATTCTGTAAATTTTGGTGTAATGATGAGTTCTGAGTTAAAATTGGTCGCAAGAGCTATAAGGACTCCACCGCCTGACTTCTTCTGAGTTGCATGAAAATTTCTGTCGGCTCTGAATACATTAAAGGCATTTCCAAAGATTTCTTCACTTTTTACGCTTTCGTCCCAGCTTGTTTCAGTTGCCAGAATGACCGAAAAGGATGAGCATAATAAATGTTGATAAATTTCCTTCATTTTAGCTGGGCTTTTCATGCGATTGAAATTTTGACAATAAATCAAAATTTCAGTCGCATTCTGTCTGTGTGAAGAAATTGTTGGAAATACGTCGGTTGATAAAGTATGGTCATTGTTATTATTAGTTACCTCAGTCTCATGCCGAGCATCGTTATATAGAAATAATGAGTCTTCCTCAAGGTGCGTCAGCGGCGTTGAAAATTTACAGGATTGTAAAATTTGAGGGCGGCCTCCCTAGTAGATTGTAGCCGTTGCGTGCGTTCACTGGACAGGAATGTACGGTAGGATTGCAGGTCTGCCAAGGCGTCGTTTCGAGTAATTCCAAGTTCTTCATGGACGTCCAGGAAAATTTCGTGCAGGAGATTTCTGTCTTTTGGTAGTCCTTCAGCTGCTAGCATTAGAATAGCACTGGTTTTGGTGATTCCGCGAATACATGTTGATGATGGCTGGTCATGCAGGAAGGAGAGGTAGGTCCGAACAATGTCCATAATTTTCGGGTCCCTTAGACGGGCCTTCAGGAAGCGTTGGTCGCCAGTTACGGACTGTTCAGTAAGTCTCACTATTGGCGGACGCATGAGGTCCAGAAGAGGAGGGTGTTCTCGCTCAGTTGGTTTTTCAGTTCGATAAGGGTTAATAGTTTCCCCTTTTTCGAAATTAATGAAATTTAGTCCGCTTTCTTTGGGTGGCCGAGAAAATTGTATTCGTGCAGCAGCCAAAAGTTCTTTATCCAAAGGTAATGCAGTGCTGTTGTAGAGATGGCTGCTTCGGGTCCTGTTGTTGTTGATGTTGTTGTTATTGCTGTTGTTGTTGTTATTGTTGTAGTTGTAGTTGTTGTTGTTGCTGTTGTTGTTATTGCTGTTGTTGTTGTTATTGTTGTAGTTGTAGTTGTTGTTGTTGCTGTTGTTGTTGTTGTCGTTGGTGTTGTTGTTGTTGTTGTTGTTGTTGTTGTTGTTGTTGTTGTTGTTGTTGTTGTTGTTGTTGTTGTTGTTGTTGTTGTTGTTGTTGTTGTTGTTGTTGTTGTTGTTGTTGTTGTTGTTGTTGTTGTTGTTGTTGTTGTTGTTGTTGTTGTTGTTGTTGTTGTTGTTGTTGTTGTTGTTGTTGTTGTTGTTGTTGTTGTTGTTGTTGTTGTTGTTGTTGTTGTTGTTGTTGTTGTTGTTGTTGTTATTGTTGCAATTGCCAATAGTGTAGTTGTTACTGCCGCTGTTTTTGTTGGTATTGTTGTGGGGGTTGTTACCTGGTTTCTTTTCTCGTTTTTTGCGCCTAAGTCTGGCTTTTTCCTCGTTTTTTTCCTGGAGACGGCGGGAATGTTGCTTGGCGTCATATTCTGTCCAGAGGGCATTAGGACCCGAAAATAATCACTAGGTTTAAACATTATCAACTGCATTGTGTGTTTTTCACTGCGCTGTCGAAAGCATCTAATGAATTAATGATGACTAAAGATATCAACTTTCAAAAAATCTTCAGAGCTCCATGTGCATTCAGTTGACTTTTGTTTTTAATTTTAAATCTTATAAAAAGAGTTAAATATAAGAAAAAATACAAGCTTGATTTTTCAACTTTTGTCCGGCTTCCGGACACTGTGCGGCGAAGAGGCTACCATCGATGTCTGTGACGCTAGAAGTCTCGAGTTCAATTATCATCCCCAATGTGATATGTGTATGTGATAAATAATAAAACGAGCAAGACTGAAAAAGTAAGTCAATTCAATTCTGCTAAATATTTATAACCATTCTAAACAGATCATCTGATTGGGCTAGAATTCCTAATAGTGATAGCTCAGGCTTGGGGCGGAGAAGCTCACGGTAGCCAAGTTGCTGGCGTAGGCAACCTTATGAACTGGAACAGCAACTTTATGCACTGGATAGGCGACCTTGGCCACTGGAGCAACGTAATGGTGTGCAACTGGAGCAACAATCTTGGCAACTGGAACAATGGCCTTGACAACCTTGTGGGACAGAGGTTCACGGTGGACGACAGCGTTGAATCCATTGTGCTCATCAGCGGTGTAGTCAACAATACGACGGTATCCATCGGCATCAACCAGAGTGTACTGTCCCTTCACATTGTCTCCGTGACGTTCCTCCTGTTGGCTCTTGATGTCTCCGGTGTGGTCATCGTGAACAGAGTACGAGAACTGGTATTCAGCTGGAGCATCGTTGTATTCGACGTGCTTAATGGCAACTGGCAGAACAGCAGCGCTAGCAGCAGCAACCAGAGCGAATAGGGCGAAAAACTGTAAAACAAATCGAACTTTGTTAGAATTGATATCGATAGAGTTTCTTAAGATCAGAACTTACTTTGAATGCCATTTCTATGATATTTGGTTTCTTTGAGATTAATGTTATGATTGGAATAGTTGTTGAACGACTGATAAATTTCCAATCGTGGCAAAAGGTATTTATACTGATCGAGTGCAATTCTATGTTTAACCAGAGTCGGTTTCGCTGAAGAAAGAATTGAACTTAATCCATAAATCTTGTAACCTGGTCAAACAACCTCGACGAGACAAACAAAAACTGGTAGCCAAAGAAATTGTGACCTTTGCGCTGTCCAAACTACCCACCCCCGGTCGTAAATTGCGGACCAAGCATGTGCGACAAATACGCTAATCTAATAAATATTCACTTTGACAAGATTGAACAACACATAAACACCGTACCCAGAACGCAATGCGTCTATTTGGTACCGATTTTGAAAAAAGAAGCAGAAACTAGTTCACTACCAACAAGTCGACAGCAAGTCCGATTGGTCAGAAAGGAAAAAAAACGCACATTAAGCCAAAACATGCATGATAAAATATTGAATAATCAAATCGGCGTCAACCCTCACACCTCGCTTTGTCGAATCAAGTTGGTTTTTCTTCAAATTAGCTGTTTGTCATGATTTTGTTTCTAGAAACAGCATCGAATCAATTCACCGTCAAGTGCAAATTGCTCTCTAAATTCAAAGTTATATCTTTTAAAAGTTCAACATCAATACCCTTTCCAGTCAGGATTAGTTCAGCCGGGCAACAGCAGTACGTAGGTATCAACAACTTTTCAATAAAAATTTCAGTTTCTTCTTTGACATCTATATTTGTTTTTATTACCCCTGGATCAACCTACGCGTCTAGGTACTGGAAGTCCCATTCAGAGCCGATCGGTTCCAAGAGATCAAAATCAAATACAGACCCCCCGCCTGCCGGTACTTGCGCACATGCGTGCTCAAAACCGATCCGGACCTAGACCGACAAATTTTCGTGGTAAAAAGAATTTTCATTCATTTTATTTCTCCAGAGGGGTATTTTGCCTCCACTGAATGGTAGAGTACTTATTTGTCACTAGCTGTTTCGTTGGACATTTACCATAATTGTGGGTTTTCAGTGTTGACCACGCAAATTTCAGTGCGCCATGCAACGTTCATTCATAAGTAGACGATGCTATAGTCGCAAAGTGGTACAGGTTTTGGTTTTTTAGGTTGGTTAATTTGAAAAATATGCAAATGTTCGCCAAGGAATTGTTGTCGCTAATTTGCACAAAAAAAAAGCTGATTGTACAATGCGATCGACGTGAACGTTATCCAAAATCAATTCGGACTTGACTCCCACTTTGGCCTCACACGATACGATTCCTTAATTATGAATGAACAGAGCAGGCACCAGGCGACCTAGGATTTTCTTCTTTTTTTTCAAATCGACACTAAAAGGATACATTGCGTATGGTGATTATGGGTTGTTCAATCTTGTCAAAGCGAATATTTGTTAGATTGGCATATGTGTCGCACAACGTTGGTTCGCAATTTACGAACGAGGGTGGGTTTTGACAACACAAAGGTCACAGTTTGATTGGCTACCAGTTTTTCGATTGAGACTGTTTAGCCAGGCTTCATGATCTATGGATTGGACCAATTCTTTATTGAGTATAGGTCAATCGTAGAATTGCACTCGATCAGTATAAATACCTTTTGCCACGATACGAAAATTATCATTCGTTCAACAACTATTCCAATCATAACATTAATCTCAGAAAATTCAAATACCATAGAAATGGCATTCAAAGTACGTTTGTTCTATTCTTAAAAAAGACCGTAAATGTGCCATTCTAACAAATTCCGTTTATTTTACAGTTCATCGCACTCTTCGCTCTGGTTGCCGCTGCTAGCGCTGCTTTTGTGCCAGTTGCCGTTAAGCACGTCGAATACAACGATGCTCCAGCTGAATACCAGTTCTCGTACTCTGTTCACGATGACCACACCGGAGACATCAAGAGCCAACAGGAGGAACGTCACGGAGACAATGTGAAGGGACAGTACACTCTGGTCGATGCCGATGGATACCGTCGCATTGTTGACTACACCGCTGATGAGCACACCGGCTTCAACGCTGTCGTTCGCCGTGAACCTCTGACCAACAAGGTCGTCAAGGCCATTGTTCCAGTCGCAAAGATTGTTGCCCCAGTTGCCCACCATTATGTTGCTCCAGTGGCCAAGGTCGCCTATCCAGTGCATAAGATTGCTGTCCCAGTTGCCAAGGTCGCTGTTCCAGTTCATAAGGTTGCCTATGCCAGCAACTTGGCTACCGTGAGCTTCTCCGCCCCAAGCCTGAGCTATCACTATTAGAAAACCTAGCCCAATTTGTTGATCTGTAATAATTTTGTAATAATTAGATGAATTGAAATGTACCTTCTTCATGTTCGTATGAAAGTGATGTATCACAAGTCAATGAAATAAGACCAGAATTTAAGGCAGTAGTGGTTAAATAGGGGAGGTTGTCTGTATCCTAGTGGATTCAGGGACGCAGTGAGGGGGTTGCGAAAACGGCTCCACCAAGGGCGCACATCAAAAGTGCGAATTCAACGAGTTTCTACCTTGCTATTCATGAAATATATTCCAGAGGCAGAGGGGTAAGGCGGATTCCTCCTCTGAAGACTGTACTCAAAAAAAGTGAGACACATTTATTAGTTTGAAACTTTTTAGCGTGTGGATAAAAAGTGTAATGTTTACGCTGGCAGAATTTCAACACAATCTGTCTAGTGGTTATCGAGATGGCATCGGAACAAGAGCCGATCCGTCGTAAAAAAAAATCGCATTGTCTTGCAAAAACAAAGTTTTTTTTTTCGCATCATGTGAGGCTGTTTTGCAGCGATTTCGGTCTTCAATCGCTCCAATAATGCGCAGTAATACTCGTTGTTGATGGTTTTTTTCTTTTTTCGAGGTAGTCCACGAAGAGTATGCCATGACAATCCCAGAAAACCGACGCCATAACCTTTCCGACCCAATGCAGGGTTGCTTCCACCCACTTGCTATAAAAAAATATTATTCGGAATTATGCAATCATTAGATGCAATAATGCTATGTTGTACTTGTAAGTAACAAGAAGAGGTAGTAAAGTATCTGTTTGACTCATACAACCTGTCAATTTCGCCTTGAGAGCGTCACCATTAGCGATCTTATGATTCGTGAGTGTTCACACAGAGTGAGCGCTCACGAGTCGTAAAATCGCTGATTGTGACGCACTGAAAGCAATTTCGACAGATTGTATGTGTCAAAAATATACTTCATGACCTTTTCTTGTAACTTACAAGTACTAATTAGCACTATACTGTATCATGATTTCTTAATTCCGGAAAATATATTTTTATAGCAAGTGAGTGGAAGTAACCCTGCGACCCATCGAGCCTCCCTCGGCCGCTTTGGAGCACTCCTGCCGGCTTCAGTCCATTGTTGGACACATATTATGGTTTCTGGGTGTAAAGCAAACCCCACACGTATCAATATATGTATTGACGCAAAGGGGAATAATTGACAATAATATTGATGGTGTGAATACAGAAAAATTGTCAATACCGATGTATTGACGTCGGTAAAGAATGTATTGACAATACAATTATTGTCAATAAAAGCAATCGTGTAGGGTCCACTTAATAGTGGATCCAGGTTTCATCAACAATTACCAATCGACGCCAAAAGTCCGCCCGATTCCGCATCAGCAAGTCCAAACACTCTTTCGAAGTGCTCTCGCGTTCGTATTTTTAGTCAGGAGTGAGCTTGCGCGACAGCCAGCGTCAGGATAACTTTTTCAGATTCAGAATCCATACTCAACATGATGCCAAACACGTCAACAACAATCAGCTGTCAAAACAAAACTAAAGACAGTATCGCACTGAAATTTGTCATGTCTGCCTAATTATGAACGGACTACAAGGCACCATAACCTTTTTTTGCAGTAGCAGCGCATTTTGGCGGTCAAGGAGGCTACTTTTCACCCCACCTAGTATGTGATGATTGATAAATTCCATTGGATTATCTCTTAAAAACTATGACTGCGATATGGAATGATTTCTATCGTAATTACACATACTTTGAACATGATATTCCTTTGCATTGAACGTTGTTGGCGATGCTTAAGATGTATATCAATATTTTCTGATATATTTTATGGTGAAAAACTGTTAATACGTCATGGGTGGGAACAGACATCTAGAAACTAATTGAAACTCATATAAGTTTGCATTTTAAGAAAATCCAGTAAAATATACTTGTTTTCGTGATAAATATGGCTCACTAAAACAAATATCTTATAAGATACACGCAAACCAAAAATGTATTACAATGAATGTTAGTTCCTTTCCTATCATCCTTTGTTCATGAAAATCGTAGCGAATGTTAGAAGTTGACCTTGCAGACGATGCAATGATTTTTAATCTCTTTTATTCCGTGTTCTCTACATGCTTTCACCTACACAAGGGCCTATGCATTAATTATGTCACGCTAAATCGAGCAAACAATTACCCCCCCCCTCCCCTATCGTGACGTTTTTCCTATACCTAATGCATTGCTTGTCACAAAATCTTAGTCCCCCCTCCCCCCTTAGAGCGTGACATAATATATGCATCAACCCCAAGCAAGCATTTTCCATAATTTTTATGTAAAACATGGTAGATTGACGCACACACTTGCCTTGATTCTCTCCAGCAGAAAAAGCAAAGGAAGTCGAGTATGCGAGGAAATGAGCGCTTTTTGTTTGATTTTAGTGAAGACAACAAATCAAGAAGACTCAACGAATTTGATAGCAAATATTACATCCTCATAAGAATAGAGTTTGTGTATTTGCTCATTTTTCTATGCGTTGCTTCCACCTTCACTCAAGCGCAGCGCTATGGTATCTGTCGCTGGATTCTTGCAAAGTTGCCAGTCTTCTTGATATGACGTCTTCGCTTTTTGCCTATCCATATCCTGAAGCATGGAGAGAGCAGTGGAGAAAGCACAGGTTTGATAATCGCAACCTTCATGGTTCGAGCACCCCAGTCGGCAACCTTTATTTTTCGACTTAATTAATTTCACTGACTAATACACACTTTCTATATTTTATTGCATTGGACCGCAGCTCGGTACATAGCATCCTCGGTTCATGCGGTCTTCACAATCCTCCTCCGATGATGAATCCCACATAATGGTAAGCGAATTTTACATCCCCCGGTGAGGTGTAATCATGTTTATTTTATTAGAGTTGCTTTTAACGATTTTTGACGTTTCATAAGCAATCAAAAATGTAACATTAAACAGTTAGAACCTGATCAAATCCATCCGAAAGTAGGCCTGTGGCGCCAATTGAATAGATTGGTTAGCAGTGTTGGCTGAAATCAAGATCAGAAAATCAAAATCAGCAATTTTTCAAGATCAATATCACCAAAAATCACAAATAATTAACATATCTTCTAATCCTATGATTTTCGATGATTTTGCTGATATTGATGCTGGATGATTTTGGGAATCGAAAATAGAAATTCGTGGTGATGATGGCTTGTGAAATTGATCACAAGCCATCATCACCACGAATTTCGATTTTCGATTCCCAAAATCATCCAGCATCAATATCAGCAAAATCATCGAAAATCATAGGATTAGAAGATATGTTAAATTCTAGAGTTTGGGGCATTCCGAAAATCAAGTCAACTTTCCGGATGAAATTAAAATGGTAGATTTCAACCCAAAATGGCTTCCACAAATCCAAGAGTGGAAGTAGAAAATTGACATCCACTGCCATTGAGGAATTCAAGATGGTGGACCAAAATCCAATACAGTGGCCTCTGGACAGTTAATATGCATCAAAACCCATGCAATGTAGGTATCTGCGTAATGGGCTCGATAAGTAGAAGAGGCAAATTGAAATCCGCCGCCATTTGGAATCCAAGATGGCGAACCAAAATCCAATATGGCGGCCTCCGGACAGTGTATATTATACTGATGCAAAATTTTAAATTTTCGCTCCACAGTGCTCAAACGGTTCCAAATTGTGGCCTGATTATCCTCCCAAAATTTGAACTCCTTTAGTAAGAACCTGACTTGGCACACACCATTTGAAGTTTATATGGACATTACTATGGGGAAACCATAATTTCGGTTCATACACAGCTAAAAAAAAGCAGTGTAAATTTCCGTTACTATGATGCACATAAATGGAGCATCATATATCATCCAAGTTTAGATTATTGATCATGTAAATTTATGAGACATGTCATGCAATATTCCATATATTGTATGCAACTGTCCACTTTTGTTTGCAACATTTCTTGCAAGCTGCTAGTTTACGTGAAAAGGAAGTTTACATGTATGAATGTTTGGATGCATGAATGATTACATCGCCAGTAACATTCAGAATTTTTTGGTGTGTATCCATCTCAAAATTCACCAGTTCACTCTACTTTAGAAAACCTTTTTGTGCAAAGTTGTAGCTGATAAAAATTCCCATAAGAATAGCAATAGAACATGTTAACAGTACAACATGGAAAATTTCTAGAAGACAAATAGTTTGTGCCAAGTCAGTTTCTTGTCAAATGAGTTTAAACTTTCGGGGGCTAATCAGGACCCGATTTGAAACCGTTTGAACACTGTGGAGCAAAAATTTCAAATTTTGCATCAGTCTAGTGTATATGCATTTAAACCCATGCAATATGGGTATCTGCGTAATGGACTCGATAAGTGCAAGTGGGAAATTGACCACTGGTTAGTAAACAAAGATTGATCATAGTATCCAAGCAATTCTTGGAGGGAGCATGCAAAAATCTGAAGGTAGCGGGGATTCATTGAAAAAGCCGAACAAATCGGTAATTGCTGCTCCATCTGATCCTTGCTGCAGCTTTTCCACCCCGCCGCTACCTAATAAAGGTAATCGTAAGAGGTTACCAAAAATAAACACCACGTCTACTCGCAATTCAAAGAAAACTCTCACGTCCAAGCGAGGGAAGATTAAATTCAAGGACATTGTGGATAATATTTTGAATGCCCTCGACTTTCCCGACGAATCGCCACTTCGAGGGCTTATTGACCTACTTGTTCCTATAGTCGGAAACTACTTCAAGCAATTGACTGCATCATGGCCCCTCATTGGTGAATTCATATCTTTCGATGGATAATTCGTCGAGTGAGGATCAAGATATGATCACTTTATTACAATGGAACTGTCGAAGTTTAATACCTAAATTAGACTCGTTCAAGTATTTGATTCACAATTCTGATTGTGATATATTTGCACTCTGTGAAACATGGCTTTCTTCTGAAGATGAACTAAACTTCCACGATTTTAACATTATCCGCCTGGACCGAGATGATTCATATGGTGGC